TGAGGATAAGCAATCAGTTCATTCGTTAATGTCTGTTGACAAAGGAATCGAATTTCATCGTAACGGGGATCGTAAAAGTGCATGGCAATGTTTTGATGAAAATTCTAAGCTTTGCAATCCATTAGCACAATATTGGAAGGCATATTATCTATTTAATGGGTATATCGTCGAAAAAGATGAGGAACGTGCAATTCAACTTTTCAAGGAAGTTGCTGATAATAATAATGATCAAAATGAACAATATAAAGAAGCTGTTGCTGATGCACAATATCGGTACGCGGTATCATTGATTAATAATTTCAGTAAAAATGATCCTAATATTAGCGAAGAAGAGAAACGTAATGAAATTTTACATTATTTAAAATTGGCAAGTGATAATAATAATCATAAAGCAACATTTCAGTTGGGTAATATTTATGTGAATGGAAAACTTAAAATGCAGCCGGATAAGGAGCTAGGATCGATATATTTAGAAACAGCTTCACAATATGGTAACCAAAATGCAATTAATTTATTAAATCAATTATCGTTAAAAGCTTAAATTTCCTTATCCCGTCTATATCTTATAAATGAGGCTTATTTGATGAACGATGCGTATATTGACGGCATGAACCATCTAGTCCCCACTTTTAGATGATACTTTATTGCTTAAATTTTGTACAAGTTAGGCTTTTTAACAATTCAGCTTTATTTTTGTTCGATATATTTTGTCCACAAGTATATGTATTTATGTTTCTTTTGTCATCAGTATATTGCTTTACAAAATCTATATTTTTTTAAACTACTTTGCATTTCTGTTGCTAAGGCCATTTGAAATTAAATTTTCGGTTAACATCTCTTTGGAGGAAGGGGAGGGTGAAAACGAAACGAACAAATAAATGAGCAACTTATTTTTGAATAACAAATCTATTATGACGAACTAATTTCTGGTTCAGTAACTGTCCAACTGTAGTCTAGATATTTTAATTAAGCTGCTCAAAGATACGAAGTATATGAGCCAATTTTATTGGTCTATATAAATCAGGTGATCGGTGGAATTATCCAGAAATTTGATTGGTTGTTCATTTTTCGGGAGGAGACAGTCAACTGGGGAATGATGTTTAGCCGAAGATTTACTTCAAACGGTCTAACCAAGGAGACACATGACTTAAAACTTTAGTTCTAATTCAAGTTGAATAAAGATAAATCCTTTACAAAACAAAATTTATGCCTTTAATGTTATACTGAAACATTTTCCGGAACGATGATAGAACGATAGTTTGGAGATACGTTTTTCAAAAATTTTTGTTTTTTTGCAACATCTAGACTGCTTATTATAAATAAGAAATATGCATACTCTTTAAAATTTCTTTTTATCCGGGATCTATTATAGATTTTAAAATTGGGGAATGAAGAAACTTAGGTCTTATATGTAGCGGTTTACGGCATGTGTTTGATAATGATAAATTGTTTAATTAAAAAAACTTGGAACTTAATATTGAATAAATATTCTGAATTTTCTGTTAATGTTGTCGTAGAGTTTTCTTTAAATAACGAGAACGAATCTATTTACATTAATATTTCCGGCTTGTGAAAACAAAAATTAGAATTACATGGTTGGCAGGTAGTACTTTGGTTCGCTTATAATAACTAATTAAGATGGCAAAAAAAAACCCAATACAAAAATGGCATTTTTCAATTTTAAATTAAGCAGCACGAAAATTTCTGCAGCAAGTATGCTTATTTTCGAATGCAGGAAGTGTTATAAGTACGAAATTCTAAGATTATTTGACATAATGTTATTTCTAAAATGTAATATGTTCATGTAAATTGTATATAAAATAATTTAATAATTGACAGATTTAATAACACTAAAATTTTTTTCATATGAGATGGAATTAATATATTTTAAAAACTCAATGAGCATTCGGAGATTTGGTCAAAATTTTTCACTTACATTCGAAATCTAGAGTTTGGGACCAAACAATGCTCGAAACTCATTGATTCCAATCTCTGTTCTGGCCTGAGGATGGATCCGGATGTATTCATTTACGATCATTATAGTCAATTTCTAAATTTTGACAATTTTCACTTTTGGACTATTATTTAAATTCGATTACAAAATAAAAATTTATGTATATTGAAATACTGTAAATTAATATATCAGGATTTAATTCAGAAAATAAGTCTTTAATATGACATATAGCTTTGCATATTTTTTCTAAAGGTAAATTTCTTTGGTTTTTCAGATCTGGCACCAAATAAATGTAACATAGGATATTGGGGATTGACATTTACAAATATGGGGAACAATCCTTCTCCTCACATAAAAGACTAAAGAAAAGTTTTATCTCTATCTTCTTTAATGGAATAACTATCCCATTCTTGGCCTTTAAAGATCGGATGTTTATCCATTTATTCCATGTCATTTCTAAATGTGTTCGATCAGTACTAAGAATACCATGCATTTCTAATGGCTTGTCTACTTCTTTTCCTTCAATCTTGATAAAAACATACTGATTAGCTTCAAGTTTGAGATTTATATAAAATTAACGACTTACCATGTCAAATGCATAAAAACACGATTTTCAACTTTGCTCATTCTTGCAAAGGTGATGACCAATAATAATTGTAGACTCTACATCCTCATCACCGTCTTGGTATCTGAATGCACAAATTCCAAGAAGAGAATACATCTTATTTTTAGGAACTTTAAACACCTTAGAAAGATCTTTTTGCCTAATTTTTTCAGTGCGGTCAGATTTTATTGTACAACTGCTAAATTTAAGCTTTAGGGGCAGTCTAAAATTAAAATCGGTGTGAAATCCAACAATCATCCAGGCAACTTTTATAATACGTTTGAAATCTTTTTTCAAAGTTTTCCTCTTTTGTCTTAATACATTAGATCACTAAAGTAGGATTTGCTTCACCATTACTGTTGTTAGGCAAAACTATTTTTGGCAAATGGCAAAAGTCGAAACTAAACCCGGCAAAAGTCAAAACTGGCA